TCTACTACTCACACAATTGTTGGCATGGACGTACACGGAGAATTTTCTCTAACATTTTTTGGTAACAGCCATTCTCTGCCCTCTGAGCAAAACTGGTTCTTTCTATACTTTTTTTTTTTTAAGGAATTAAGTATCCTAAAAGATTTTGACAAGATACCAAAAGATCAGAAGTATAAAATTTTTGTCTAATTTAATGCTCACTGTAATGTATGTAAAAATAAAAGACGGGCTAAATAAGCAGAGGCAGTGGATTGCTCTTGCTCAAATGAAAAGCTATCATACTATGAAAGAACATTTGTTCTCATGTGTCAAGATCAGCAGATAGCTTCTTCTCTCAGTGTTGGCATCCCCCTGAATAACCTAAAAGGTGTAAAAATCACCAGCTGTAACTCCAAATACATCAGAGGCTATACTGTTTCCACTGAAAATTTCTTTGTCAGCCTGTTCATTTGAAGATAAAATTCAAACTTGAAGCTTCTGACGTCCTAAAAGGTCTGTAATTTGTGCCATCAGAATGTAAGCCTTCCTCTTAATGTTCTGGCATTTCAGTTTTCTCTTACAAGATAACCTCACTAGCACCCAAACAAAACTGCTGAGCAACAGCAGCAGCATGTTCCTACACAAAGATCCAACTAACTTTCAAGCGTGTGCTCCTTGCTGGTTCAGCTGAGCACAGATTTCCCAGTCATGGTAGAGTGACTTTTTCAATCCAATTTAACTTGTGTTTTGACAACTATTGAAGCAGAGGATCTTAAGAAGTAGGGGAGCAATGATGTGTCATTACAAGTTATCCAAAGAAAAACAAAGAAGTGAGCTGAAGTGATACAAACCTACGGGCTGGGAAAAAAATCTCTTAAAAATCAGGTACTTGTGCACGTAACAAGCACGGTATCTTGCCAACAACTTTCTGAGTGCGTGTACATACATACCATCTCAGAGCGACATGATAAAAATGTACTTAGACTAAGACATACTGCCCAGTAAATCAGAAACAGGATCAATCCTCTTACAGAGATTTAAATAGACAGATGTGACTCTCGTGAGCAGCCGTATCTGTGTATACTTTTTATGAGCTCTTCATGGATCGTTCTACAGGGACTACAGAGAGTGTGCTCTGAGGAGAGCACGTGTGCTACAGCCAAAGTGGAATACGTTTTCTTAACATCAGAAAAAATTTCATCGCCAGCCTACACCACCTCATCCTGAAGCTGTTTCCTAAATTGTTCTTGACCTTCACGGCATATCTGCATTTGTGTCTCTGTAAATCTCTCGCTTTTTGAGCAAACTGTTCTGGGCTATAATGAGAGAGTTTTTCACCTTCTCTTCTCCTGCATATGTACCACGGCACGCTTGAAAAGCAACCCACGCCTCTTTAAATAGACAGACATGGAGCTCTGAATAAGAGATGCTATTATCCTCTTCTAAGACACTATGAAATTCCTTCTGATCATATTTACTAGGTCTGAATAGAATTGTTACTGCCTCTTTTCAGATGCATCATTTTCTGCTGTCAGCATGATCATGATTTAAAAAAGAAGCTTCTGCTAAATTCGAGTACATGATCTCATACTCCTTTCACGTTCCGAAGGAGCGCATGCGCCCTAACTAGGCACACTTTCTGTCTTTCCCCTAAACACTGGAGGTAGCCAGCATCCATGAGAAAAACAACTGCTAGGGATGAAAAGCCAGCTCCGGGAGCGACAGTCAAGTCATTGGGATGTTTTAGGACAACGAATCAGAGCACACTGGTGATGCACACCATGGAGTATGTGCTGTTTGGGTATTATGTCAGCTTCTGCAAGCAAAACCAAGCCCTTTCTGGATATGTGGCTACTCTTGAGTTTCCAGTTTCTCTCAGAAAAAGACTTGCTAAGAAATTCCCTGGAATCTGGGCCCCAGAGAGGGTGACGGGGTAGAGAGGAGCAGGGTAACAGGGTATAAGGTGCTCACACCAAAGCCATGTGACCAATGCAAAGGTAGTCAGGAAAAAAAGCAGATTTTTATAATAAATAAACCATCCAAGCTGCATTAGTGTTCCAGATATGTACTCAACAAGACCCTCTCCCAACCACAAACCAGCAAGAATGGGACATGAAAACTCATTCAGACAGCTAATGGCACAGTCTCTTTGAACTGTAGAGAGAGGATTTTCTGCTGATTTAAGGCCCACCTTTCTTTGTGTTTCCTAGATATATGCAAGGACCATGCCCCCCCCACCCTGCCACAAAACCTTCAGGGAGTAGAGGATACACCGGAAAAAAGGCCAGTAGTATCTCCCCTGCCCCTTTAACAAAAAAAGTTTCCTGATAAATCGTACTTTTGCACAGGCATGAAAGTAAGCGGGAACTTTCAGAGTCAGGAATGAATGTTACAGCTGCAGTTTCCCCCATCCTCTTACTTCATGGAACATCAGTTCCAGGGACTTGCATTCCTTTGGTAGAAACCGTAGATCTGTGCTATGGCCTCCAGACCAACATAGTGGGTACCAGCACTTCTTCCACTTCTTCCCTACCTCCCTGAAGCTCACCCAGCTATACCTTCTACTGCTCTGAAGCTATTACTGTGGGCCATTTCCATTTCTGCAGTATTATTATTCATAGCCCTAAAAGTCTCCTGCACAGCCTGAAGTAACAGAGACCTCAAAAATACTTTGATTTATCCATACTGGTGGGGATGAGAGTGGGACCTGTTGGATTAACAATCCCCTGACATTGCCATTCTATTTACACATCAAATAAAAGAAAACAAATTAAAATCAAGTTAAGAGTCTGCCCCAAGGATAACACAAATTACCAACCAAAAAAAAAAAAAAGATTAAAAACAAGCAGCAACTTTTATATAAAATTAATAAAAACAAGACAAATGAAAAAGAAATTGTCAGTAGCATCTATCGCCTCTCTGCATCTGAACTGCACTTATACAAACTAGTCCATTAGTACAGCAGCTTGCTAGAAATTGACTTTGGTTCAAGCTTAGTTTTAAAAAAATAAAACATAAAAAAATCAAAAACACATTAGAAAAGGTGGACGGACATTTGTTAGTTTCCCTGCTTGCAGTTCACTAGTTTTGAAGTTTTAGGGATAACTGGTTTAAATATTCAGTAAAACAGGAAGGTGGAGACTTAGAGATGAACAGAGCAAAAACATGGTGGTGGGGGGGGGAGAGATAAGGGGTTCTGCCACTTGAGTGCAAACGCAAATCCCACATGCTCAGGTCACAAACCGAAGCATATGTAGAGTTTAAAGTTGCTGCCTTCCGGATCCTGGATGAGAAGCTCCAGGATCCCCCTGAATCATCAACAAAATGAACATAGCTGCATCAGCTCACTATTTTAGGACACTCTGGTGACAAGAAAAGGGGGCGGGAGGGAAAGGGACTCTTCTAATACCCTCACTAGCTAAAAGTAATTTAGTTTTATACACATGGCAGAAACCTTTAAATCCATCAGGAATGGAAAGTTCAAAGTGAACTGCATTGCAGTGATCCAGTCTTCTCTTTTAAAAATCTTTTTTTTTTTGGTTCAGATACTAGGTTGTATATTTAAGAATATACAGATCTAACTTCTGTACGGTTCGTTACTTTTCCTCATCCACGTAAACACCCTTTGCTACATGGAGCAGAATCCACCTCAAAAAGCTAGTTATGGTGGCAGGCAAGCCTTCACGCCCTGGTCAGAGCTGCTTATTGCTGTTTTTACACAGCTAGCAGCGTCACAGCTCAGAGACTACATGAGATCACCCAGGTATGTGCAAAGCCCCAGAGTCAGCTCTATATTGTTGGCATAAATGATGGTAACTTCTGTTCTCATATTGTTAGCTTCTGTGTTTTGCAGCCAGCAGCACTTTTTTTTTACTAAAAAGTTTTTCTAACTACAATGTTGGAAGCATCAGAATTAATGGAAAAGGAATATTGCTATGAAAAGGGAGAATCTGACCTTTTGAAATCCTGCACCAATTCACCTGGCGGGAATCTAGGACTGTAACTGCTGCTTTATATGCTGCCAATTAGCTTGGGTAACTTGACGTTTTTAAAATATTTGTGTACGCTCTTAACAAAATCAAATCAATAGAACAGAAGAGCCATTGGTATGTCACACAATCTAGACTCGGGAGGTCAAATCCCACTCTGTGAAGTAAAAAGGAACCATGCACACAAAGGTAAGAGCAGAATTTGGCCATTTTGTCTAAATTATTGAGAGAAGGAGAACTGCAGTTCGGAACTAATTCCTACCTCTGCTTAAAAACCATAACCAGCCTGGAAGTTTGCACACAATGATCTCTACTGCTACGCTGAGCTTCCTGCACAAAGGATGAACATAAATTCTTCTGACCCCTACAAGTAATCATCAGACAAATTCAAGGATGAGGAAACTGTTCAGAACGTTCCCAGAAGATTAGGACAGAAAGTCTATTTGTGCTCCATTCTTCTTCTCCACCCTCCCCCGCCCTCCCCCCATGGTGTGGGAGCTCGCTGAAAATAATCCAGGAGCAAAAGACAAACGCGTCCAAACTATATATATAAAAATAATAATAATAATAATCATAATAATAATAATAGAGATACACCAGTAATACAGGCCTGCCTAAATTGTACCAGTTAAGAAAGGAACCCCCAACACGATTGATACGATTATAAACACCTTGTATGACATAATGGCCTGTACAACAGACCTATTAAATGATAATTAAAAAAAGAAAGATATTTAGACCAAAAAGAAAGAAGAAATCCCCTTCCTCTGTTTGAGTTGATAACCCACCTTAACTTGTCATTGTGACTGCTGGAAATGATAAGTAGTCCTTTCACTTTTTTGTGGTTTTTTTTTTTTGTTTGTGTTTTTTTTTTTGTTGTTTTTTGTTTTTTGTTTTTTTGACATTTTTGGTTAGAAAGTTCTCCGATCCATGAAGCGATCCTGAAAAGACAGTGTTTATTATAAAATTAGGCAAATGTCTGTCCCAGCTTTAAATCCTTCCTGTTTTGCTTTTGTTTTTTATATTTTTCCTTCTCTCCCTTGTCCCCAGCAACACGGTGAGAGGATGCCCATCACATTTTCAGTTTATAAACCCCGCTGGCAGCCAATCCCACCGCACAGTGAAAACAGGCTGCTGGCAGCACAGCTCTGCCCGGCTCACTGTGCCTTGGAGGCAGTAGTGGTGGTGGACGTGGCCCCGCTTGCAGAGGCCACCGTGAGGAGAGAGTTCTGGATGGACTCGGCTGAGGTGGAGGTGGCGTGAAGGCTGGCGACTGGTCCAGAGGCCCCTGCGGAGGCTGCAGCTGCAGAGACCAAGCTAACTGGGTTGCTGGTGAGCAGAGAAAGGTTCTGAGGATTCAGGAACAGAGGGGCAGTTACGATGTTAGGAGTACCTCCAGCATTGGCAAACACCAAGTTTCCAGTTGCATCCAGTGATGTTATTGGAAGAGAGCCACCAGATGCAAGAGCTAAAAAAGGGAAAATTGAGCAGGGAGGAGATAACATTAGCAGTAAGCCATAATGAAAATGTGCCTAAAAGCAACCGGTCTCTGCGTTTTCCTTTCCCTGACAGCCGTGCTCTCTACGCCGCTAACAACAGTCATCTCATCACATGCTGTTTTTTATAAAAACCAACTCTTTATAAAGAGTGGACAAGACCTTGCAGATACTAAAATGCCTCTGTTGTCTGTTCCTGAACTAACTCCATCATGCTTTTCCTCAGATCTTTAAGTGCAATACTGGTCTACGTTTCCTGCCACGGAAAACCTGTACATTCAGGCAATCTGTACTGGAAACGGTTGAGATGAGTGTTCACATGAAATGACAGCTATCACAAGATGAAGAAGGTCGTGTAACCTTCAGAGTAACACTTTAAACGTTGACATATAACCACTGTTACAACTTACTCTCACCGGTCTACAGGGTTCAGTCTGCCTTAGATTACAATCTCCTAAATTTATCTGTGACACTTAATGAAATTATTCTTTCTTGTACCCTGGAAACAAGACTTGTTAAGCTAGTCTAGAGGATATTTGAATACATGGGTTAGATAGCTCTTTAGGCACTTGCACTATCCAGTTTTTACAGATGACAAACCACAAACTGAGAACAACTCTGCTAAAAACAGCAAAATCTTCTGGTTGTGTGGCGCTTCCAAAATAAATCTTTACTCCTCTGAATAAGGATTGATGGATTTAAAGGTCTACATAAGGACTTTACAAGGTAGGTTGGTTGTTGTGGGTTCTTTTTAAATACGTATGAGGACAAGAATTCAGGATCAAGTTTTGCTTGGAACTGCCCTCCTAACAGACCTCAAAATAGCACAACTCTGCTGAAGTTGATGCTAGAAGAGCTATAAAAACCACATCTCTAACCTGCTGGAGATGCATGCCAATGGGGGAAGGATAACAAAATAAATTCCAGATCGCATCCAATATCTTAAATGCCTCCTGTAAATCACTACAAGATCATACACAGTTCTCTAATACCCTTTCTGAAGTTGTACCTGCTTTTATCTCTGTGACACATAAAATGTATTTGTGCATGTAAATTCTGTAAAACCTTTAGTCCTACAACATTTATGTCTGCTGCTGTGGAGTCTGTTCTTTTTTGGCAGAGAAAAACGAAGTAAGTAAACTGAAGTTGTACGACAGAGATGCATTAAAAGGAACACTACTGACCTTGAATAGTTGCCAGTGTACTGTTGCTCATCAGGGCTGGGCTGAGAGCACCACCTAATGTCCCTGGATTGAGACTGAGTAAGGCACCTCTGCAGAAAGCAAGATCATGGAAGAAGAAACAAAGACAAAGTGAAGAAGTGTTACTTTTAAGAAAAGGTTGTCACTGCTCAGAAGTACACCATCATATTTATATAAAAAAAAAAAGGGGGTGTGTGTGGAGTGGAGAAGGGGAGGCGGGGGGGTAGGGAGGAAAGACCAGAGATCAAGCGCTAATTTTAGTTTATTTTAGTTTTTCCTTCATGATGCCTTGAGTAGGTGTTGCCTTTCAGCTGCATGGTTAGCGACATGCATGAAGTACAGGCATGTAAATACATAACTTGTATTGACTGTTGCTTTAAAATATTCTTGTAAAGTATTTTGGGGAAACTGCCACTCGTTAGAGAGCTATCATCTCCCAAATTCAGATGACAAAGATGTAAATCAAGAGGAATCGAAGAAACAAAGAGTAATCTCTCAGAGCAACATTTTTAAAACAAAAACTTTAACAATACATCATCATGCGTCTTTTACAGCGTCTTGCTCATGATGAGCAATGAATGCAGAAGTGTGAAGAGGGTCTAGGCTAGCTCTCCATTTTACAATCAGTAGAACAGATTCTATGATTCACTGGTAAGTTGCAGCTCTTAAGTCAAGCTCTGCAGTAGGATGGATGACTTATCAAACAACAACATTGCTGCAACACAGCTTTTTCATCTGTAAAATGAAAATATTTGTGTACATTGATGGGAATGGCCAATTACCACATATAAGTAAACCTTCAGAATTTGAGATAAATGACACCAGAATCACCAAGTGAGCTACCAGAAAATAGTGGTACATAAAAGTAAATTATCCCAAGAACTCTCCTTCCCTCTTCTGTCATCTCACCTAAAAAGATGTGAAAAAATCATCCTTACCCAGCTGCAAACTGCGAGGATGCCATCAAGCCTGGGTTTAGTCCTGCTGCAGCAGCCATGGCAGCAAGACTTGCATTTGCAGGCAACTGTGCAGCTCCTTGTAACGCGGCTGCTGCCGCTGTTTGCAACCCTGATGCCGTTACCATCACCTGGCTGGTCCCAAGAGGGGAGGACAAGGGAGTGGAGGTTGTCTGTGTTGTGCTGGTCTCACTGGCACTGGATGCCTCTGAAGCGGAGGCTGAGGCAGAAGGGGAAGGACTCAGGGAGGGTGATGTCACTGCTGAAGAAGCTGGAGGTGCTGTTGAAATCACTGTTGCTGTGTTGTTGGAGGTGGTTTCTGTTGTGCCTAGAAGATTGAGTCTGGTTAGATCAGTGCAAAACACAGATATGACTGAACAGAAACCACTACCCACCTGAACTGCACATCCAACTGATAGGGATACAAACACACATTTCTGTAGGACCAAGAAGCACCAGGAGTCCAAATGAGAAGCTCAGACTACAGTGAAATGACACTTCCCAACAGGAGGCTGAGGAGCTCTAGAAACTAGCAATGGAATATGGCATATTTCATTTACACATCACCTGTGATTTTATCCCCAGAAAAGTCAACTGAGCGGTCACAGGGACTGAAGTTTCCTACTGGAGTAACAAGAACAATGACAAGAATGTCCTGGGATACCAGTGACGAATATTGAACGACCTTTTGAAGAGTTTAAGAGGGGAAAATGGTAGAGGTTAATGTGAGGGCAAGAGAAATCAGAGCTTACCTGTGACTGACAGACTAGTTACAGCAGAACTGGTCAGAGGGAGCACAGGATTGACAGTCAGGGTTGTAGCTGCACTGCTCGTCACAAGGCTTGGCGTGGTTGCCACCTGGAGGTCAAAAAAGAATACAACTGCTCAACCGTTAAAAGACAAAAACAGTTAGCTACTAGACTTGGATTTCTTTCTTCCCATCCTCAGCTGAGGAAGTTATCACGGAAAACACTACATATAAACTAACTTCTTTGTAATTCCATTACTTATCATTCAGTGGACCAACTATAGTACCTTCTCTAATTACCAGCAATATCTTTATTCTTAATCATTCAGTATTTGAAGGGAGATGCATCCATTACACCCATACTGCCTCAGGACTGCAAGTTAGCCGTCCCTCTCTGCCTCCCTCCAAAGATGGCACCTTGTTTTAACAGAGTCACTCTTATAGAAAGAGCTACAAAATACATTTTTTCTGAACGGATTTTCTTCTTGTTTAAACATCTTCAGCTCCAAATCTCTTTCTCTTATAAAATTCTTTAAATTCCCCAGCATTACTAAAGGTATTTTGGGTAATGTGTTTACACAGATAAAGAGAATAACATTTCACTTTTACTCAAAAAACTGTAAGCTCTACTTCAGTAAGTTTCCTTGTGCCAGAGGAAGGAACTCTGAATTTTGAAACATTCAAATGACATCAGCTAATTTTACTTGTTGACAGCTTACTACAATAAACTGAAGACATTGCAGATAAAAACCACCAAAGATAAGGCTGGAGGAACTAGCTTATGAAGAAAAATGAAATATAAGGACAGAAAGAACTTTATATGGACAAGAAATGGTGTCAAATGACAATAATATTTGAAGGCTGTTATACATCAATGAGAGAAATGAATCCTTTAGAATTGCCCAAGAGAACATACCCAAGGATATAGGCTAAGACCGTCCTCCTTTCCCCTCTTACCTCGTTTATTATCAGAGAAACCTCTCTCATGCTGCATATCTAGAAAGTGAAATGCTTCGTGCATTTTAAACAAGACTGGGGCAACTGGGACAGGTCTAAAAGCTTTCTGCTTATCTCAAATAGTGTATGAAATAAAGAAGAGCTAGATACATAGTACACTGCCCACTAATGCAGCCTAGACATCATATCTGTCATCTGTCCACCAAACAATTACGGCCAAGGTCACAATCCATATTTCAGGGCAGCGAATGACCTAGAATTAATACAGCTAACCCGACGGTTACAATGACTGACTGCAGCCAATGCAAAAGGCGGCTGCCATCAAAAGGAGCATTCCCCTCCAATCCTGCTTCAGAGCCTTAGCACTTGTGCAGCCAGGCTACAAGTCAGATTGGTTATCTAGCTGTACTTGAAAATTCATCATTGTTCTTCACACAGTCAATCTGCAGTCAAACTAGTAAACTAAGCCCAGTCATTCTATGGACACATAATCTCCAGAGCTGACACAAGGAATCAACAAAGCACACAGCCAGTGAAGGCTGGGGGCAGCAGGGCTGGAACACCCATTTCAGTGGTAGCACTGTCTTACTGAAGCTTACAATGAGTGAAAATGCTCACTGAAACATCACTGAATAAATGGAGACTGTGGTTAACATCTCAGTTGCTTACATACAATGGCAGTTTCTAATAAAAGGGAAATTTATGCAGAAAAGCTTTCTTAAGTTGCAGTCTCAGTGAACTTGCATGGGTACTATAACACACTATCATAAATCTCATTGTGTTCTGCTTTGGTAGCAAGGCATGCAACCTTGCTTTCCAATTAGGAAAAAAAAAAGTACATTTAACACATCCCTTCCCCTGAAACACAAGGCTGCATGCACGCATCCTGAGACACAGATGAGGGGAAAGAATGACACACCACCAAAATTAATGGTTTAATGAAGTACTGAAAGGTATTAGCTACTACAGTGATGAGGGTGGAATAAATACTACAAAAGTACAACTACAGGCTATGTAAATTCCACCACATTCCTATTAGCATAGCTACTATGAAATCTAATAGCTACTGTTGCTATTTATGAAAACAGACCTCCATGGACATTGGTAGCAAAGGAGCTGAAGGAACCTTGATGCATGTGTTTTGTTACTCTTATTTTCATGAAGTTTGTGTTTACCTGAGGCAAATACAAGTGTGGGAAATTAATTACATGAGTATTAGCTAAATTGTTCCTTTGTTCCATGTCTTTTTTTTAAATATAACTCATCCCTGACTAAAAGTGACAACGGTGTCATTGGATTTGTGTGACTTAAGCCTCCAAATGATACGTTTTGCTGCTGCTCATCTACTTATCAGAGCAGCCAAAATAAGAGGGGAGGGGTAGAGCTGTTAAGCATTTTTTAATTACTACTATTTTACCAAAAAAGTTTGAGCAAGAAAGAGAGTCCAGATATAAACTGGAGTTACTAACTGGAATATGTTCAAACCAATAACCCCAACAGCAAATTCGCTAGTGAGAATATTTACGCATGAGCTGACTAAACATCAAAACTGAAGGGCCAACTACTGCCTGATTTGTAAGCATTATCTCTCTTAGATAGCTCACAAGTAGGATAATTTAAATGCCAGTAATATATAAATTTGCAAGTATAAGCCTGCTGTACAAAGGCGGCGTAGCACGTGCAACTCCCTCAGTGAGCACAGTGGAACTATCTCTTCCAGGGACCTTTCAACACAGTTTCTTGATTCTTACCAGTGAGGTTGGACAAGGGAAAATTGCTTTGATGGGCGAGCTGCTGGTTCCACCACTGCTGGGTGGGTTGATCCTTTTCTCCTTCTGGCGCCGGTTACAGAACCAAACGCGGATCACCTCCTTCTCCATGTTTAGCTGGTCAGCTATCATGGTGATCTCATCCGAGGTAGGCTTTTGGTTCTGAGAAAAGGAAACAGTACTTGAAAAGCTGTGAAACTACCTCTGAAGTTTTACATTATAGCTGCTTCTTCACTAGGCAGGAATCTGGGTGGGTCATTTATATCCAGAATCTGGTCAATGGTAGAGACAGACTATAATAGATGCTTCTGCCTTCCATGTTCCTGTAACCAGGAACATTTCTACCAATTGTAAGCTGTGTTCCTCAGAGACAGGTGATGAAGACTAAGCTCACGTGCTTCTTTTTGAGAGAAGGGATCTGACTTGTGAGTTAATCCTTCAAGGAATTCTAGACCTTGATAAAGAAATCTTTCAGCATCTCTTGAAAAGGAATAGGAGAGATTAACTATAGCAATAGCCAAACGAATCCCAGGTTGTCTAGACCTATAATGGCTGGGCTACTTACAGGGGCTATCTGCCCATACAACTGCACAAAGTGCCTAACAAGAGTAACATAAGGCCATCTAAAACCCCTTGTATTATGTATGTTTAGACTGTCACCCCATTTATCCATCCTCAGAAAGGGTAATCTGTTTTCTTTTTGATGTGCTGAATATCAAGCTTAGATCTATGGCTCAGTATCTTGGAATGCGAAATCAGCAAACTGCAAGAACCAATGAGGTTTTTTGAGGGGTTTTGTGTGGGGTTTTTTGTTGAGGTTTTTTGTTTTTTGTTTTGTTTTGAAGTAACGTAGGCATTGATGTGTGCTTCTTGGCAAAGCCTTTGTATTCACCTTGTTCACTACAAGCACTTTCCTAAATAGCACAGTAATGGGTTCAATCTAACAGATATGACTGTAAAGCAAAGTTTCTTCATTTTTTCATAGCACTAGAGCAGATCAATAGGATCACTGACCTCCAGGAAACTCTTCTCTAAGGCCACACGTATGTTGGTCTCTATGCTGGTGCGTTTCTTCCTCCTACGGTTCAAGCCTTCGGTCCCCAGCCCTGCAGAATTCAGGGCACTTGGGCTGGAGAGAGTTGAATCAGATGAGAGGTTTTCTGAAAAAAGAAAGTAACATAAATCAGGAGATTTTATTTGAATGCAGTGAAGTCTAATGCAAGTGTTCCTCACCTGTGCAAGGCATGTTAAAATCCACCCTGTATCTATTCCAGATATACAGAGATTTCTGAAGACCACATGCATTAATCATTGTACCTGTAAATTACAACATATACTTGAAAATTAAAAGCTGCAACTAAGCCCAGAGGGCACACTCTGCTCCTGTATGCTACCACAACATGCCTTTTATAACACCTATACAAAGTTTGTCTCCCGTACCTCATTCCACCCCACACTCATTCACTGCAAGGCACAGTTTAAAGAAAAAAAGCAGTAACTGATATCCACGAGCCACAGCTGTAAGTCAGAGGCAACTATGAAAAAATCTGAGCAGCCTGAAATTTCTTTTACCCACTTTGCAATCCACTACAGGAAGTTTATAGCCAGCTTCCAGTGTTCAAACACTCCTCTCTGGAGATCTTAGCAGATACTCAGTGCTATGCAGTTCTACCAAACAGACCACACAGCTAGCAGCTCCCTCTCCTTAGCTTCACTAGGTCTCTTGTTGTAAACCCCTAATCCTGTCTTTTTGGCTCCACAGAAGAATGAAGAGAGAACACACTCGACCCCACTTTGCAGTGGAAAGTACAAAATAACCAACAGGCATGTTTCCAGCAGGGAATTTAAACAAAATAATCAATTATGGCTGGAGATCCCTCACTGCACTAGAGTGTGTGGGTAATAAGCAGGTGTCAAAGTTCACAATGCCCAAGATCATTCTGGTAGGCTCGAATGGGCAAGTACATTCAGTTTGTCATTTTCTAAATTATTTGGTTTTCCCCAGTAATGGCACCCATAAACGTGCTGAAACCCCTCTCCGCCCTGAAAACCCCACAGAACAAGTTGAGCTCTGTAAGAATAAATTCTCCAACACTCCAGTGTAATGTGATGGAAGGGACCATCAGTATGCTTCTCCTGCCTGTTTTTACCTAAAAGTAGCCTTTAAAGTAATCTGAATCTTTCTTCCAAAGATTTTCATGAAACTGAATCACAGCCAAAGACAATAGTTCCTAACTTCCAGGCTGTGAAGGACCCTGACGCTTACAGCCCTTAACTTAACTTGACAGATCCAAGTATTTCCTCAGGCTAGCAGGAAAAACAGACATTCCTTGCAGCACTGGACTCATCCAGTATTGCTGGAAGGTATGGGGACCACTGGTCAGTGGACTAGAGCACTCAGTGTGAAGATCTTTATGTTTTCTGTAACAGATCTAGATTACCTAAAGATAACCCCTGTCAGCACAATAGAATGACACTTTCTTGTTCCAATGCAGGACAAGTTTTCAACACTGCATCCAATTACTTTCAAATTTTCAGAGGATACTGTAGGCACCAGCATAAAGCTCTCTTCATTTTGGTAAAAATAAAAAGGCATATAGCGTCCCTGCCATCTGTTTAGCAGATCCATCAGTTTTATACTATGTACAGTCACATACTTGGAAGAAAAAACTGGCTGACAGCACTCTTAAAACACTTTCTATCCTAACATCACCATCCAAGCTCCATTTGCTGGTGGGAAAAAAAAACCAAACCCACAACCAAAAAAGAACACTATCAACATTGGCATCATGAATAACTTATATCCCAGGAAAAAAATAATTCTAAAAGGAAAAAGCAAAACCTAACCCACAAAAATTTCTTCCTATTGTGAGAAAGAGAGTGTTTATATAGACCCTTGCAGAGAGATGAAAAGAATGCACATAGGGGTGTGGGAGGAGATGAATGCAATAAGCTCTGCCTACTGAAACAATAAACCATGCAACCCTCTCTCTACTACACATCTGAAAAAGAAAGCTAGAAGAGGATTAGAAGTTATATGCATTAACATACACGAAGGAGGAAAATCATGACACATACTATACCTCAACCCATGCAATTATTCAGCTGGATGCAGAACACAATTCTGAAAGTTCATATTGGAACAATTTCGGATGCATGTAGGCACATGAAAAGGGAACTACCTTTTCCTACACCCCTATTTGTCCTCTGGACAGTTACAAAGATTGATGGCTTCATAAAACCATAAGGGCACAAACGAAGCGGTTTTTCAGAATCTAACTGATTTTGCTAGGCTGGTGAAGAAATGCACAGACTCATTCACCTGCATCATTGAGCCACTTTTCCAGAAGTGGCTTTAACTTGCACATGTTCTTAAAGCTGAGGTTCAAGGCTTCAAAGCGAGAGATGGTAGTTTGGCTGAAGTCATTTCCATAGAGTTTGCCCATAGCGAGCCCAACATCACCCTGGACAAAGAGAGAGAAAAAACGGATTCACTAACATAGGCACTTCCAAAGCAAGGAATCCTGTCACATTCTAGTGTTCTCTTAGTGACACCACTGCTGTGTGGGATTTCAGTTTCGCAGAAACTTGCTCAGTGCTACCAAGATTCATGTTACAGCAAATAATCATAAAGAAATATCAAACCTCAGTCAGTTTAACCATATAACTCTTTTCAGGAAATCCCTGATGCTTTGTCTTCTTAGCATTATCACTGAGCAGAACATTCCGCTGAATATTAACTTGTAATTTTTTTCTTAGCTCTTTAAAATAAGGTCAAGCTCTCTTTAGGAGCAGATTTAAGTATCTGCATATTTCACACCAAAGAAGGAAAGTTCAAATAAGCAGAAATGCAGTGAATTCATGTTCTCAAATTAGTAGAAAACACTCTTGAAAAGATGTCTGGAAACATACATCAGATTCAAGTAGATGCAAAAATATTCTTATCTGAACTTTTACTATCTTCTGAGGTTCAAACCAAACTTCTCCCCATAGATACACATTTCAAAGTGGACAAGAAGCTGAACCATTTCAAATAATGATTAACTGCAGTCTTCACTACCATTACCCATCTGCCAAAAACCTATCGAGGAGATTTACAGACAGATGATCATCTCTTTACATCTGTTATTGCTTTTCAAAACTTAGTTTTAGCTAGCTATCAGACATTCTGCTTATCCTAACATAGATATATATATATGTGTATATATGCACATCTATGTTGTTTACACTTGGAAAGTCTTGTTTCAAAAAAAAAAAATCAATCCATTCTTGATTGTGGCCATTAATAACACAATAATGTTTTCTTGCTTGTTTTAAAGCTGGAAGGTCCTGCTCTTTGAAAAAACGTAATTATTTTTTAAGTATGCTACTTGGTCTAAAGTAGTTTAATTTAGATTTTTATTTTTTAACACGATAAAGTACAAAGAGTCTAGAAGAAGAGACTGAAAAGCTTGAGCATAGTTAGTGGAGTTTAATTGCAAGTGGGTTAGTCGGGTTGCGCAAAGCTTGCTTTCCTTCCCTTGAGATCCACAACCACAGCTTGATACAAGCATACTAATAGCACGCAGAGTGGCCACATACAAGCGAGGAAGAAAACAACCTTTGGTAAGCTTAGTAGATTGTGCAGGTTGCATAACGAAAACAATTTCCTTCTTAGAAGAGGACCAGAACAATCGGTTTGTATGCCCTTCAATCAGAGGAAACACGTGGGAACTCAACATTTATGCCTCTACCCATATGCCAGGATTCCGTGCATTTTAAAATTCATAAATCATTCCAAGAGAAGCAATGTGGATGCTTTCCTGGGTTTCTGAAGAAGAAAACCTGGCCATATAAACCATTTTAGAGAGAAGCTGATTTATGTCTTGGCAGCAGAGAGTTATGAAATTTGCTCCAGTCCTCCAACTAAATTTAATTCTGGTATTTACGTTGTTCTTACTAACATTTGCCATCTGATTTAAAATGAACAGTTAACCATTTCTTTGTCAATCATTTTTAATGCCAAACAGTGGCAGCATTTCAGCTGTAGGCAAAGGAATTTACATATTGGGATGAGAATTTTATATATTGGGATGGGCCACAAAGGATGGATGGAATAGAGGATAAAGGCACTGTATACACATCTGATCTACTCTCCAGGTTGAACGAAGCTCCAGTACTGAACTGAAACTGATTATAAGGTACATCATTGTTGTGTGTACTGGTCTGCTAAGAAGCTCAGAAGGACTAGCAGAGGTGATACATTTTACAGAATAAAAATAACATCAGCTAAAATGTTTGCTCACATAGCTTGAATCTATTCTGACCAATTAGTCACATACCTGCCATAATGCTAAGATGCAGTATGCTCATTGTGTCTCTGTATGTCAAACATGGAGATATTTTTAAGGAAAACAATTAAGCAACAGGATTTAAATCCATCACCCACTTTTCAAGAGTGGGAGAAGAGACAGAACTGCTGAAATTCAAAGCCCATTACATTGTTCATAAGACAGAATGCAGCAAGTGTTTAGTCTGCAATGCAAACTAAATCTTACAATTATTTTTGAAAGGTAGGGGTGGCGTGAGTCTGAAAAAGCTTACAGTACCACTGGAAATAAATTTCTGCTTTCCTCTGAAAGGCAGTCTATTTATCCAACTATAGGAAACCAAAGTAACAAGGGTCTCTAATTATCATCCAATTATGCAATTAGATAGAAGCTATTAGAACTGCCTAATTATACACATACAAACTCAGAGTAGGATAGTAGTTATCAAATGCAAGTTTACCACTTTCTCAAGATTCCCCTGTTTTAAACTGGAAAGCAAATACCGACATGTAAGCCTGAGCAATTGTGTTCATTTTTCCTCACCATGAAAATTCACAACAGGGTCAATAAGAAGGGTTAACCCATGACTTAAAAAGTCTAGTTGAGCCTCTATAATCATCTCACAGCAGGGCAGATTAAACATAATAACTAAAGATCTCCACGAACCTCCTCAGTCAGGCTATAGGGAAGCGATTGTATTTTCTCTGTTCTGTTCTGCTCTATTCTAGCTTTTGTGCACGTGCACCACTTGTATTTCTGTGCCTCCCTCTAGTGGAAGAAGGGAGGGAAGGAGGCACACATGCCAGCATTTTACTTCACTTTACTAAGAACATTCTGTTCTTGAGTTATAATTAAGCTGCTGCCAGGAACTTTCATTACGAACCCTGATTTTTCAAACATTTAGGACTTTGCCAGAAAAATAAATCTGACTTCAGCACATACTTCCAGCTAGAGTAGATTTACTTATTCCAGGGGTGGGAACAAATTGCATACGTTGGACTGACTGCTCTAAGCTCAGACTTTTAAATACCTACTTCGACTTTTGCATGCTATTTCTTCTAGCAAAACCACACCTATGCTTACCACAGACTCCTGCCAAAATTAATTGTTTACCTGGACAGATATTTTAATTTTGCAGGAAAAAAAATCCATTTTGATATTAATAAGAAAGGACTCTTGGATTCATGCAGCATTTCCCTTCAACAAAATAACAGAACGTATAAATGCACTTTGTACTTTTAATTGTACTCCTCATTCAACTATTTTCACTGTGTTCAAGATTACTTTTCTTCTGCTCTACGGGTATTTCTGAGCTTTTAAGCAAACCAAAAACAAACCACAACTCCAGTTCACTTCTGTAAGGAGAGAACTTCAAAGGTAACAGTCCTTTCAGGTTTTGTTTAGGAACCTTAGCAAAACCATTAAATACAGAAATCATTGATGTTTAACAGGAAAATACACTTGAGAGATAAAAGCCCTTTGACATCCAAAGCAAATCCACCATTGTGATACACTTTTTAAACACACAGAGCAGTTAATTGTGCCGTATGGGTTTCGGGACTTTGTACTTCTGAAGGCAGCTTTAAAGTGCTTTGCCCCATTCATTTTACATCCTATAGAATGAATAGCGCACATGCAATGACATCTGGAGCTGGTAAATGCGTGTACCTGCTGGGAAAATGGCTGTGCTTTAAAACCAACAGGGAAGTGAGATGGATGTATGGCTTTTTCTGTTATTTCTTAGAAATCCCCTACATAAAGGCCAGAGCATAACCCTATTTAAGAAGGTTCTCCCAGGAAAAGGTGGAATTGTAGTCTCCCTCCAGACTTGAAAGATGAGACCTCAGATTCCACACTGGCAGGCACTAAGGTACGCAGTCTCACCTGAGTGAATCCAAGTTTGATCCGTCTTTGTTTGAAAGTCTTGGCAAACTGCTCAAGCTCCTCAAGGTCACTGGGCTCCTCCAAGCTGGGAGTGTCAATTCGCTTTGGTGTTGACTGGCTCTGTGGAAGTGGCTGAATGGGGGTCGCTGCTATTGTGCGTGTTGGGGTTGCTGGCTATTGAGACAGAGAGCAAGGAAAAAATGAAAATCAGACTTAAAAGAATAATCAGCAAAAATTAAATTCAAGAAAGGTATGCGAGTGGGGTTTCTGTGAGAAAGATCAACGAATTTGACATTTCCAGCAATCTGAACGTTTCTCTAATTTATTTACATTCCTCTCAAGAACAAGTAATCACAATCCAGAAAACTGTATTAGTATGACAGCCTTTTAAAGGCTCTGTCAGAACCAATTAAAGAAAAATAAGAGATGTTCAATGCAGCAGATAACCATCAATTTTTGCTTGCTACAGAAGCTGCTCAAAGAAAGGCTGAACACTCTTACTTGATATAGTTCTATCATTTATAGACAGCTTGGCATTCATCCCCTTTTAACCATTTTAAAATTGAATTTACTGCTTGTGTGACGTGGCAGATTGTCATCAGCACAAAAGATTCAAGCCTCCTATTTAATCTTCGAACAGCAAGCACTTACAGGTGCAGCAACATGGCAAGTTTCCTCTAATGCCATCTCCTATAACTGACTCAGCTCTCCCAGTCAGAAAAACCGAGATCTATCTCTAACCCTTCTGTTGATACTTGCAACAGTAAGTATGAATGTACTGGTCATACGAGAAATTAAGTAAAGGCAACCTACAGAAAAGAATTCCTTTTAGGTCACACATTTCTTCTAGATAAAAGGCTAATTTTCCGAAGTCCACACTAGGCTCACTCTCCCTGAACACTGGCATACTAGAGCATTTTGCTAAGCACCAATAATAAGAATCTGGCTAACACTGATCATCGTGGAAAATATTCATGGGCGAACAAAATACATTAAGACCTGGTATTGCACAGTTCAGGCTTTATGTGCAACAGGAACACTGGAAACATGTTTTGAGTGCATAAGTCTACCTTCTTATATGCCATAGATTATCTCAGATGCAGACACAAATCATTTACTCCAGTTAAATTCCATTCAATTCAGCCAAGGCTCTTAAGCAAAGGTGACTTAATGCTTTCATGTCCTATGCCCAGCTCTGAAACTACGGACTCCTTCAGGGCAAATAAGAACAGCCTCAAGTCTATGCAACACCACAGGACCATGCAAAGTCTATGCAAAGGTCCAGAAATGGCTGCTCTAAAAGAAATGGCCTACATACAGCTGAGACTTTATGTAGCTCCCTCTGTTGTTTTTCTCCCGGTTAGCGTAGTATTTTGCAGTGCACAGCAGATGGTAGAGTGTGGTCAGGATCTGTAATTTCATTACTTGAGAAATAATGTGACCACATATGATCTTTCTAGGATTGCAGATATATGTGTCACACTATGAAGGTTTTTAATAATTTTAAATTTACATTAAACATAGCAGGTAATTACTGCAATACGTCTTTATTGACTTCACCCCCTTTGTATAATTTATTTTCTCTTTGTAGTTTTGATACTTTTTTTTAATCCAAGTATAATCTTTAGCAAGGAGTCATGCTGCTAACTGAGGTATGAACTACAGAGGTGAGACAAATTCCATTTTCCACATGGTGCATGAAAAATACTATATAGGTGGTATAACAGAAAATGTAGTCTTCTAAGACTCTGATAGACTTGGGCATCTTATTACAGATTAAAAAATTCTTATATGTAACCAAGTTGGCAGGAAGATATTGGATGATATTACTTGGTATTTAAGAAATAGCATGCAGTCATGTAACTAAACTGCACAGTAACACTCAGTGAAGCAAAACTAAATTTGCAGGCACGCGCAACCTTAAAATTGCTTTTCTTACAGTCTGAAAGTTTAATCATAGAGCTTTACTATTTTAACTTATATCTAACAGAATTATTTCAATGCTTTTCTATCAATCTCTTCACTTTCACAGAAGGTAACTAATAAGACTAGCAATGACTTAGCAACAGCAGCAAAACAATTAGGCTACAAGAAAGATAGATCATCACTCCAGTCTTTAGAAAAAGATACTTCTCAGTAATCCTCTTTTTTAGCTTTTTAGGTAGCCCACACCTTATTCCTCTGAATCTCACAGATCTGTAGATTGTCCAAGAAAGCCTTACATGAAATCAAACGATGCTTTAGTGCCATTAACTCAAGATATCAACCACTGAAATTTTCAGCTAAAAAAAAAAAAAATTAGAATGTTAAATCCAGGAGAAGAGGCATATTACGGTGGAAACCACAAAACTGAAGTTACTGATACTTCAGCACTACAGTGACTCGATCTAGAAAAACAAACCCACTATTATAGCTACAGTATCTACTCTAGTAACTAACACAAAGGGTCCATTCACTTGCAACAGTTTAAATCCACTCAAAGCAACTCATGAATAGTTGAAATAAGCCTCACCTGCGAGGCAAGGGTGATGCTTGGCTGAGACTGCAGGAGGTTGGCTTGGCTTTGCTGAGGTAGTTGCGTTAAGAGATTCTGCGCTTGCAGGAGACCTGGAGAGAGAAAAGGGTGGGTTTGGATTGTCATTTAAAAAGACTAAAACATGAAATGAGGTGAAACAGGGCTCTTGCCAAATAATGAAAGTTATAAAAAATTTGAGATGCAAGTCTTCAATTCATCCCTGCATAGATACCTTCTGACTTTGGACTTTTCGTTCCAAAATCCTTTTGTATTTTCCTGACATGTATGGTGACAGAAGGATAAAAGAGAGAAGTCTGTACTAGTCTTCTCTGCAGAAAGAGTTTGTAATGATCTAGGTTATCCCAGTTCCGCGGGCAGGAAACATTAATTGCCTCTTTCAGCTTGCAGATTTTGGTTAAACCTCTTCCTGTAACCAACAGCTGACCAAGAATTAGGGAGCTATATAAAAAATAAACAACTGAACACTAATCAGAACAAATCCAACAACTGAATACTAATCAAAATGACAAATTTGGTTGCTTGATCACCCTTCTTCCTCTCCATATCACACCATTCCAGCTGCCTAACAAGAAGGAACTTTCTCTGGCAAATTTAGACCACACCAGAAGACAAAACAAGCCCAGATAATCTCCTCCTGGATGAAATAAAGAAAAAAACTTTTGGAAAAGTAATCAGAACTTAAAGCTTAGGTAAGATACTGAACACTGTGTAAATTGCACAAATGGAATAAACATTACACTGAATATATGAAAAACCCTGCTATTATGAAAAGATAATAAACATTAAAAAACAGTTTGGACTGACGCAACCAATATACACAAAATGCTGTCATTCTAAAAATAAATTCTCTTACTGTCCACTATTTGTATGGTTTATTAAATCTCTCAGGAAATTGAGATATATGCTTGCAGCTATACATTTTAACTACAAGCAGTCTGTTTTGTTGGGTTGTTTTTTTTTTTTTTCATTTCTAACACTAAAATTTATACATTTTTAAGGGGTAAGAATCTTGACAAAAACATACCTACAGGTAGTCAACTTCCTCAATTTTATTGTGAAAAATATTACTGTTAATCTTTAGGTAACTCCTGGCCACAGCTATCACCTTCCTCTATAATAACTTAAGAACTTGACTGATTAAACCTACACTTAATAGGCATCTTCAATATACCAAGTTCCCAAAACCAGAGGGGAACAATGGCACAGCAACAACAGTTGGACACTGTGGCCACTCAGAGGACAGAACACCAAGTAAGTACCAGTTAAATTCTGTAATTGGAGTTCGACATGGTCTGTTCTGGCTCACCAGCTGGCCTATCTGTCAGAGCACACCACTCATGACCCGCTACCTCTTAGCAGAATACAGGTAGCGGACACAGGAATTTAGGACTTGATAAATACTGAGTAAGAAACTGGATGTTTTATGTGAGGTTAAGGCCATAGGAGATATGAAAAGAGGGACTACCATAGGCAAGAAGGAGAAAACGTATCCTCAATGCAGGATACATAACTACAGAAGAATCGTCTTCTGACAGTGATCTTTTTGACAAAGTACTGAATACATATCTTAAATAGAGTATGTTGCTATCAAAATGCTCAAGACCTACAGAATAAAGCCAGCTGCTTGTGCAACATAATAGCACAGTATAGACAACAACATAAATTTGCTTTGCACCACACAATCAACATGTTCCCTGGTTCTGAAAAGCCGCAGTGAGGGAACGGATCTGCTTAACGAACTTCCAAGACAGCTACCGACTATAGATACACAGTGCTTTTTACAACGCAAATATTTGTTCGCTTGAAAGATTATTTCAGCTGCCCAAATCTAAATACCAGTTAGTGAACAGTCACCTCTAAGTGAAGAGGTTTTGACCTTCATTTAGGTCAGTGAATTTTAACTGACAACTTGAAATAGAAAGGGGCAAGCCATCACACCAACAGTATAGAGCGGATGATGAACAATGAAACAAAAAATAGGCAGCTGACACTGACCACATTTGACCTGCAGTCCACTGGTAACACCATTGATCACAAGTTACTGACTCATCTTATGACTGTAATCAGAGTAATTAGCACTGTCCTTTTGTAATTTTTTTTTGTCCTCAAATCCCAGAGGATATTTTTCTGGCAATAACACTTCTGCTGAAGAGCACAAGATGACTACACTCTTCTTCATTTTATTCTCACTCATACGTTCTGAAGTAATTATCACAAAGCACAGTATAAAATATTCTGAACACGTTTAATCTGCTCAGTTTTTACATCATTTTATCCTATTTAAGGAATACTGATACAATGCGTCTTGGGCAGAAATTGAAGAAAGAACAAGTTAGTTCAACCTGCAGCTGAGTGAAGTAATGATCAAGGGATGGGTAAAGCAGCTGAACTGTTTTGGCAGAGAATGCATCTCTTCCACTGACTTACTATCTTTTCAGACACTTGCTGTGCACACGCTTTGGACTCTTTGTTGGCTTCCATGGGTGGGCAGCTGCAGTTTTGCTCTTTTCAGAGGTGACTGTACTAGTCTCAGCTTAACCTTCAGGGTTTTTTTTCGAAGAAGAAACTACTGGTCTCCACTTTGGCTCAGGATAACTTCAGTGACTTAACTTACAAGGTGCACATATCACAGCCTTTTAAATACAGTGTGAGTCCAGCACTGCGCCTTTTAGGCAACTGCTGAGATACTGGTGTTTCAAACTTCTCCGTTTCCCTCGGGACTCATACTGGCATCAATACTGTAACATCGTTATTACCATTAAGACTGATGGGACAAAGTATATTCTCAGCAAGTTTGTGGACAATACCAAACACATGGAGAGTGGTCAATAGGCCAGAAGTCAGGGTCTAGACAGGCTGGACAAATGGAATCTCATGGAGACCAATGCAGGAAAATGCAATGTCCTACATGGGGGCTGGAATAGCCCCATGCAGCAACAGAGGGTGGGCACTGGCTGGCTAGAAAGCAGTGTTGCTGAAAAAAGATATGGGGGTCCTGGAGGACAGGAAGATAAACATGAAACAGCACCGTGCCCTTAGAATAAAGACAGCAAACCACATCCTGGGCTGTATTCCAAACGGTGCAGCCAGCATGTCAAGGGCTACAATTCTTCCCCTTCATTTGGCACTTGTGAGACCACATCTGGAGTACAGTGTTCAGCCTTGGGTTTCGCAGTACAAGACACAATGTCAACCTGGATTTTGTACATTCAAGGCCCACTAGGGTAGCTAACGAGCTGGAACAGCCATACGAGGAATGGGTAAGTGAGCTGGTTTGCTCAGCCTTATGAGCCAAGGTGAGATCCTACTGCTGCCTTCAAAGACAGAAATCAACTCTTCTTGAGGATGCACAGTAACAAGTTGCAACGGACGTTAAGCTGGAACATGGAAAACTCCAACTAGATATAAGGAAAAAAATTTTTTTTTTTTTTTTCACCATAAGAGTAGTTAACTATTGAAGCAGGTACTTGAAGACATTGCAGAATCTCCATTCTTGGAGAAGTCCAAACCCAACTGGCAAAGGTACTGAGCACTCTGCTGTAATTGGATGTGCTTTGAGCAATACTACATGACCTTCCAACCTACATGCTTTTTTTATTCTGTAAAAACTAATACGTTACTTGTATTCTGAACTTCACAGAGGTAGGATTTCTAACCCTCTCCTTTGGGTTCTAAGAGCCCAGTGGTAATATTCCATTAAAGATGGCATACAAATCACCTACGTGACAGTCCAAAAGAATGATTACATGGAAGTAGATAAGGATTTGTGCAAAAGTATGATACTTATAGGTGTTTCATTTTTTTTATAATAAAGTAAATGCATCTACCACCATCCAGGACTTTTCCTGTATTGTCTACAAGTAGCACAAATAAAAGCCCAAGCCAAAAGACTCTTCCTGACAGCCAACAGTCCCCAAGGACTGATGTGGGGTTCAGTTCTTAGCATCTAAAATTAAACAAAAGATAAAACAAACATTCGAGTACAGATTTTTTCAGCATAATTTTTTAAAAAGTTGGCCCAAAAGCATAAGACATAATTCACCCCTAACTGATCTCCTAAAAACAGCGAAATTTTTCACCTTAAAAAGAAGTTGACTGCTTTTTCACTGCCAAAGCTGTTCATCTTCTCACAGACATATCCTGGAAGTCAGCTTGCAAGACAAAGCCATTACAATGTCATAACTTGATTAACTGGAAACAACTGAAAGGGAAGAAGGAAGGGTGTCCTACCACATATTACATACAACGCCATTTGGTGAACTTTGTTGATCACTGTTGATGCAAAGAAACTTCTGGACACTTCGGTGTACCTCATTTTATCAAATACAGATCTTCCAAAATGGGGACTCGTAGCTGGAATTATATTGAGATCCAACACAGAAGAGAAAGTACTAACCTATGCATTCCTCCAAATCTCTTCCACTGAGATGCTAAGCTGCTGCACCTTTTGTAGTACCCAGGTACCCTTTAAGATCAGATCAAGAACAGGATGCAAGTGTGCTGAAGTTGGTGAACTATGGCTTTGAAGAGTATTGATTTAGTGATCCATGCAAAGATGCTACCACGCTACTTCAATGAAAGTCAACATTTTTGCCCATTGATGCTTTCAGATGCTTAGAAGCAAAGACTTGATTTCAAAGAGGACCGTAAATATTAAGCATTTAATTCCTATCTTTGTAATGGGTATTTGCAGCACAGGGGAAAAAGTCACTTTAAATCACTTCTTCCAAGTTCTTCCTCTTTCCACTTCAAGCCCTCCCTTCTTACTTGGGGAATGAGTTCGAGTCAGCTACATTTCATTCAACTGCTGTGTCAGCAAATATGCTGTCATTAAGAGTCTCTTGACAATGAAGAGCTAGGTCTCCTTATTTGCATACTGAGGGGACCAAAGCACTTCACCAGGTTCACATAGCATATTATTAACAAAATGAGGAGTCCCATAATGGGAGTGCAGGTGCACAATCTCAAATGAGTTGAACCCTCGTCCATTACAAATTTGATGCATCTGAGAAGAAACACAGGCAACTTCAGGCATCTTGCTCCAGTCTCACACTGGGTGAGAGAGCTACACTCTGACCAGAGGCCAGCAGGGTAAGTACCAATGCTTAACATTCATCATTCTGTTTCAAAAATGTGTTTGTTTGTTTGGTTTTTTGTTTGGTTGTGTTTTTTTGTTTTTTGGGTTTTTTTTTAATGATATAAGTAAAGTCTCAAAGTCTGCAGGACAAGTACACAAGAAGAGAACAGGACCGGATTTGGCCAGCTATCATCATCCCAGGTATTTTTACAATAAAGAAATTAAATCATAAACAAGGTCTTCAATAATAAATAGCAACAACTTCAGAATAGGTAGGCCCAGTTTCAATCTTTAAAGCTAATTAGTAGGCTTGTCTTCCACATTGGCCTTTCTGGATACTTTCTTTAGAAGTACTGTTTCTAAACCTCCTTGACAATGATGCAGTCTTTCCTCAGATCTTAACAACTTCTGTTTGCAAGATTAATTTAAATGAAATGAAGCACCATTACCCCTCTCGATTCAGATTTTTACTGATACGATTTTTATTGGCAATATCTTCCAAGCAGAAAGGCAAATGGTCATCTGATGAGGGTAGTATTTTTAAGAAGCAACTATAATTGTAGTAAAGGATGTCGAATTGATTATCCTAGAGACAGATCTATTAGATACAAGAACAGATACCTGAGATATAAAGACTGTACAAGGTGTTACTTTCCTGCCCATGACTTTAACAATAATACGGGGACAATAATTGCTCCGAACAAGAAATTCTTCCAAATTTTTATTTCCATACAATCTTCTGCATACCTGCTGTGACTTGAAACAACTCCTTCAGTTCTGATGTTACCTATTACAAGCCATGAAAACCAGGAACTTCACTGTTTGTTTCATGTGAGCCACTGAACAACCAGAAGTCACGTGGAAAAGGAAGATGACTACATTAGATATATGGCAGTGGATTTATAGGGAGATTTTCACATCTGCTGCTGTAATAAACTATAATGTGTGTTGAAGAAAGCAGAATAACATCCTGATAGTTGATTAATACTTTAGGTATTGAGTTTTTTAAAATCTTTCAGAAGCTGGATCTAAGCCATGATATTCAGCCCCTTCCAAGAATCTAAATATGAGTGCTGATGATTGCATTACTTCGCAACTCATCACCTCTTCAGGTAAAAGCAGCTTTTCTCTACACCAAAGTTTCTATGACAACTCTGTATGGCCGACTGCACAGGGACAACTCTACGTGGATCGGCGGATTCCACTGGTCTTCCTCGCTGCATGGCAAGCTCCACAAAGCCCTTGAACATTGGCAGGAGCACTGTGTGGTGCTGCAGGGAGCCCTGAGTGGTCTTGTCATGGGAGGCAGAGGGGTGACTGCCCACAAATGCTGTGCCCACAGTATGCGTTACAGGAGGAGGCCGTCTGCAGGCAGGGAGGCAAGCGGTGGGGTAGGTGGGGGTGGGGGCAGCAGCTCCAGGCGCAGGGCCACCTAAGCACTGCCTGGTGGGAGACCCTGCTGTTTTGTTGGCCTCAGCTTGCGGGTTTTGGGGTTTGTTTTTTTGGTTTTTTTTTTTTTATTTTTTTTTTTTTACTGTGAGGTGTTGTTTTTTTAAGTTGAGGGACTTATGGGCATGGTGTCCCACCACCCCAGCATCCCCCTCAGCCCTGGGCAACCAGGAACACGAGGAGCCAGCAGTCCCCATCACAGCAGTGCTTCTTCCCATCTGCCCAAGGTGCACAGCAGTACCAGCACCACATATGCATGAACAGAAATGGGTCTAGGACAGCTCAGCTTGGCAATGCTGAGATAGCTGGCTTCCACCCTGCTCCCAGAGCTGCTACCCCCCTGCCACTCACCCCCCTGCCTGCGTACCTCCTTCTGCTCCCTCTAATGCAATGCACACAGCAGGCATAGCAGGAACGAGCTCGTGGGCAGTGCCCCCCCTGCCTCCTGTGACAGACCGCTTGCTGACAGGTGCTCACAGCTCCCTGTGGCACCACAGACAGCCCCTGCTGATGTTCAAGGGCTTTGCTGAGCTCATCACGTGGCGGGGAGGATCAGTGGAATCTGCCGATCCACGTAGAGTTGTCCCCGTGCAGAGTCGGTGGCACAGAGTTGTCCCATTCCATTCTCATTTACATGGCCATATGGCATGTATAAAATACACAGTGTAGTCTGTAAAGCAATAGGTTTCTTCCAGAATAATCTATAAATAAATCCAAATTTTCATTTTAGTTATTAAATGCGTACATATATAAAAAAATGCATGCAGTACCAATGAGGCATCCAAAAAAATCTGAATGTTGCTGTTTTTAAAGAAAGCTCTATGCTAGTTTCTTCAGAATATTTATTCCTTTATGAAGTTGACTAATGGAGCAATAGGACAAGAACAACATGAAGTCAGCTGCAACAGCAAACAACGAAATAAAAATACACACTTTCTCAATCTTTCTCATAAATAATAACATACTGTTTGAGAACTTCTAACAATAACCACGAAATACTGCAAAAAGCCATACCAAAAAGTGAGATAAGAGGTATTATGACATACATGTTGCTTTATCATTGAGTGCTCATGAAGAAAATTAGATCCATTCAAGCATTTCAGTTTGGAAGGTTGTCACACACTAACAGCCTATGGTCAGAACACAGAATATAAATCTTCCTACATTTTTGAGCTATTCAGTTGTCCAGGCTGCACATTACCAGTAAAACATGGTGTTTCTAACACACCGCATCACTGACGACAGCAATATGTAGGTCTTAAACTGCAGTGAAGAAATCATTTTCAGAGATGGTCCCTGGAAAAGGTACCATGAAAACCTCTTCTGGTAGTTATGCTACTTCAGAAGATTTAAAACAAAACAACAAAAACCCTTCCTTCCTTTCTATAATGCAAACAATTCAGTTTGGGATATGAATATAATTTGCTTCTGTTAAGTTTCCTCTTTTGTGAAGCATCTTCAAAGATATTTCAGAAAACCAGCAGAAGTTAGCTAAAAAAAAATCTAGACAGAATTAATACCAGTGAGTTTTTCAAAACAATGCTTCTATGCTCGCCATTTCCTTAAAAGAATTTATTAAAAAAAAAAGCAAGCCTATTTTAAAGAATCTTTGACCTAAATTTTGGTGAAGTTTGAATTCTTCTAGAAGAACATGTTAAGCTTGTAAGCTCTGCTTCATTTTAAGAAACTAGTACATCACTAAATGCCTCCATGGATAGTCTTTTAGCCATTTTCTAGCAGGGCTGGTATAAAAGCTCTCCTAAATCAAGTCCTACTAAAATAAAGTTTATTTTGACTAACCCTTTATTCAAATGTGAGAGCATTCAGACAGTAAGAGAGCTTCAGCATAATAGTAAGCCAATTCTATCCAAGTTACAGTATATAAGAAGGAATGATACATGAAAAAATTGAAAGCAACAGAAGAAAATGAGGTGCAAAGAGCTGCTTTATTGGACAGCCAGGCTCTGGAGGACTCTTCAAGCATAACAGGATTTGCCTTCTGAGCAAGAATCTTTGGATTACCAGACCTGAACAACTGAGCAAAGTTCACGTAGAACAGAAAAGAGGCCATGGCTAAATGCAGTTTTCTGTGGGCATCAACAAATGAGGTGCAATCACCAGTGTGATGTATTGCAACTTTGAATGCATTAGTTCTTAGAGCAAAGTTCCTGTACATCATCTTAACTAGTCTGGCACACTACCCCCTACCACCGCCTTGGTTTGCCTTTAGGGTGTAAGCCATAGCCAGTGTATTGCCAAAGTATTATTTCCAAGAGCTGCTATACAAAATCAACATTCTAGCTCTTTTCCCAAGGTGCAATTATTATTCCAGTTTATGACAAAATTCACTGTACCCTCTTTAGGCTTAAGGACTTTTCTAGTCTCCCACAAGGACTCGTGATTTTGTAATCTTTTTCCAGTCTTAGAATTCTGTAGCCCTTTTAGCATTGATCTAACCCAGACAGCCCACACACCCTCCAGGCCTCCACCTCCTAGGATTCTGCCTTCGAGTTCTGGAGAATCATCTTCTCCAAATTCTCTTCCCAGCAGGCTTCCTTCTTGAGAGCCTAACCCAGAAATCCAGATGCTGCAGTATTTCCCAAGAGGCCTTACTGTTAACAAATGTTCCCATGACATGATCTCTGGATTGGTCCTCCTTGAGAAGTGAGCTACACAAACTTTGACAAGGCTGAGGTTTAATACCCAGAAAGGGACAACCTGCTAAGAGTCTCCTAATCGCAATACTGTTATTTCTCCTACGAATAGCAACAGTTAGTGAAGCTGTATGAACCACCGTAGCTTCACCTTTTCCTCTAAAAAGCTACGTATGATTTTCTTTTCTGGCAAGGAAGCACTTACCCTGCTGTCCCTGCGGCGTTTGTGAGATGATGAACTGTGCTGGCTGCAAGTTGGTTGTTGGATGCACCAACACAAACTGTTGCAGGTTGAGATTCTGCTGCTGAAGCTGCTGCAAGTGCTGCAAATCCTTAAGGAAACAGGGGAAGGGGAAAAAAAAAAAAAAAGAAAGAAAGAAGAAAAAAGAAAAAGGAAAAGAAAGAGCTGTGTGTTAGACATTTCAGTCAGCCATGACTCCCAATGTAACCAGATTTCCTATCAACGAGTCACATTCTAACATTTAGAGATAAAACTGGATGTCAAACAGCAGTCCTACTAACTGAACATTCTTTAGGCGGGCAATCTGAATTTCACTGTCCTTCATAAAACCAAACAAAAATTGTTCCAAATAACAATAAAATAACATGAAAGATTAAAAATATTTCCAGCACTGTTCTGCTTAAAAAAAAAAAAAAGAAAAAAAAAAAACCCCAAACCAAAAATCAATCTCCCTCTGCTCCAAATGCAGAAGTTTTCAAATACTTTAGATTTATCAGCATCCAGATTTCTCAGACTTATTTCTTGAGGATGTAACTCTGTTACAAAATTCATTGTTGACAAATCAAGAATATTAGCTGGGAGCTATTTTTGTTCATAACAACAACAATCTGCGATTACCATTCTCATCAGCAACAGGAAAGCAAAAAGTTACAGATTCCTAGTTCACACTCCGGTTGTTCAAGTCACATTTTGGGAAGTAGCTAACTCAAATAGTAAATAAATATATTTTATTAGTTCTGAAACAAATTACAATAAGCTTAATAGACATGGCTATAATTAAAAGTTAAAAGGAATAACTCAAAACACTGTACTATCATAGAATCCTATTTCTATGTATTTAAACCATTCAGATCTATTAGTTTTCTGTAAGTAAAATGACTGGTCTCAACCTAAGTGCCAATCTCTGAGAAACTGAATCAGGAAAAATGCTTCAACTTGCTGTTTAGCTGGAGAACGAAAACATAGAGAACTGCTTAAAAATATTCCCCTGAAACTAGCCTTTTTCTTTTAATTTTCTCCAAACAGGACAATAACAAGAGTAACCGAAATTTGAAAACTGAAGAACAATGTGAAGCCAGCCAACATAACAGAGGTACCGTCTCTACACACGTGTAGATTTTTTCCATCTTTCTGAGAAAATGTTTCAAAATACCTGCCAACCAGGTGGATAAAAGCCTGAAATATTTCCCACACTTGAAACTTCCCATTAAACAAGCCAAATCAACCAAACAAAAAAACTCCCAAACTATTTCAGGTAAGTTACTCAGTTACCAGGGTACTCATTTGCAGACAGATACCCTTCTTCTAGCCCCAAATGTGTCAGATGTTAATAATGCCACTTAGCTCCTAAACAGTGCTCAATCTGGCTGTTGGAATGGAGCTGCTTGTTTTAAGATACTTCCTAACACACTTGAGTTAAAATAAGCCAGATTAACAAACACCTACTTCTTAAGGCCTGTAAAGTAGCCCCCATGCATTTTGACTGATCCAGGTTAGTGAGCATTCACATAAGCTGCTCAGCCAGCAGATGTGAAAGGTCATTAACTGCCAGCAATGGAGATGGTGATGGAAAGTCAAGACAGATTGAAAAGGGTAACTTTTCATTTACACAATACAACCATTTGCAAAATATAGTTATCTGTCTATGACCTTATAATATTTTAAAACTGTTAAACTAAGACTTAAAAATTGCAACAATCTCCTTCTGGGGAAGAGGGGTAGGGAGTGTCAGTGGGTGGAAAGACAGACTAGGGAGGGGAAAAAAAAAAAAAAAGAGTCCGTTGATTTATGAGACCATAGACATGCATTATAAGGAAACAACTACTTAACCTGCACTACAAAGACACTGGACATCAATCACGTAGGCAACTTGGTCATGTTAAGTCCAAAGCGTGCAGTGTAATAATACGGTAGACAGACACCAGATAGATTAACCAAGCAATGCTCTTTAAGATACGTAAACTTCCATTTTGTAAGAGAATGTAAAATTTTAAAAAGTGTCCCCCAGTGCAACAGAGTGTTTTTAAAGTTGATATCACTGTTTGCTTTCAGAAAATTTGAGAAGTACTGAACCATTCCTACGAAATCGAAAGATAATTTCATTCCTAAAGAAGAGTGATGTTAACTGCTCCAGTTCTTCCCAGGAACTCCATGTTTCTTCTGACTTCATATCATAAAGTTACATTGGTCAGAACTGCTACTAAAAACACTTACTTCTTGAGCTCAACATGACATGGACCTCCACTCATTTATTTTCCATGCTCTACTGGTTACCTTTGCAGATTGAGCAGACCCTCCCAGAACAGAGGGGCTCATACTGAATTGGATGTGAGGACTAGATAGGAAATAAAGAAATAGAAAGAGCAGGGCAAACTGACTAAGGCTGTGAATGCTGGGTCTAGAAAAAAGAAATTAAGAGAAGCTGAAGGATGAACATAGAGGTGGATAAAAGAAGAAGCAGAAACACAAAAGGAACAGTTGGGAAAAAAAAAGCATGGACAGAAAAACAGATAGGTTGAGGACCTCCACCACCAAAAGCAAACAAACGAAACACACACACACACCCCCCTGCAGATGACCAATTAGATCTCAGATGATCTGAAGATGCACCACATGAAATGGAGTTACACACAAGAAAGAATACAAAGAAACAGAGTATTTGTAAGACTAAAGGAGGTGAGCTTTTTTGTTTAGGGCTATAGTATTCATAACACAGGCTACCCAGCTAAGACATGACAGTTCTTATCATCAGGCTCTTACACTTTAATATGAGAAAACCGGTTTTAAATTGAGGCCTCAGGGATAACTGGTATAAGCAATCTTATTCTGTGCATCTGCCTTGGTAAATGGTATCTTGGCTGAGCCTTGTTTAAATACAGAAATATAATTCTGTAATGCAGGAGGGAAACGACACCTCCAAGGCTAATCATTCTTAAATAGCCCTACCAGGCCCTCAAATTCATTTGAAATCCAACTTTATTTCTACTTTGGGAAAGTTTTATTATGTAGTTAATTGTATCATTACATAAATCTCCCAACAGCAACAATGTGAACAGCCCTGACACTGTTTTCCTATACCGATCTTTTCTTTTCCTCAATGGTACAATCTGTATATTAGCACAAGCACATACAAAGAGATGGAAAGACTTTTGGGGAAACAGGCACGTCTTCTGGTGCTGCCTAACAATTTAGAAAGATCAAAACAATCCAACTCCTACCTCAGCAGAATAATCTGCCAAGTGCCGCACCTTGACATAAGGAAGTTTTTTGCTTTTCAAACAAAAAATAATCTAGAGTTCTAAATTCAATGTCATTATCTCTAGTTACAACTTCTGTTGTACAAACTTAAGCATCCCTGTCATTTTGAGGTTTACATCATACAAACATTGATCATGGATCCTAAAAACAAGTGAAGTTTACAAAGAACTCCAAAACTTGGTATAACTGTTTAGTGACAATTTAGCATCAGCCCAGCAGCAGCCCTAACATCTTACCAGACTGCTGCAGCAGATACCTTACATTAACTGCAGTGCACATTAAAGAAGTCATGCTTGTGCCATTAGTTAATTAAAATAAATATGGTAATCCCCCTGCTGCAGAGACCTGCCAGTTAATCAATTATTCAAAAATCATCAATTAAAACAAACATTCAGCTATTTGTGTAATCAGCTATATGTTTACAATAGCAATGCAAACAAAGCTGAGCACTGTTCATAAATTGCTGTCAAGATGGCTCAAAAGGCATGTTATCCATCTACAAACCCAGACAGTAGAAGTTTTCCATAAAGCATCTCAGTTATATCCAACACCTGCACAAATTATGCCATGCACTTTCATCATAAGCAGCAGCTAATAAGATTCAACCAAGCTACATTTATGTATCAATAAACCTATCCTAAAAGGATATCCAAATTGTAAAGTCAAACTTTTAAGTAATTAGGAATGCCAGAAAACAAGTGAGACTGTAATTTGTTCCCCTTGTGCTACGAATACACATTATATGGTGGCAACTACACGATCATATGCTATTTCTCATAGAGCCTTTTGCCCATTCACGCGCACAAACCAGACAATGCTCACTTCAGAAGCTCCTATTTGACGGCACATGCCTGATCTTTTCAATTCTCCTCAAACACTTCTCTCAAGATTTTATAAGTTCCGGAGAAAAACCCAGTGCTAAAGTAACAATTGTAAATCCTTCACACATTTTCATAGCTTCCCACTGAAGTGAAAGAGCGGTATTAGCAACATCTCACTCATGCACAACAATGCCTTCAGAAGTATCCACTATTTTGGTGGCATATTTGACAAACGTGAAGCCAGCAAGTTCAAGGTAGAGATTTTATTAATATGAATTTTTAATGCTCTGCACTTCAGTAAAGCAGACCTCGCTGCACACCTGGAAGACTAGAGGCACACACCTATAGATCACTTACATTTCAGTTAAGAGACTTGCACAATATCAACTGGGAACTCTGTGACAGATACATGGAAAGAAGTTAGAAGCTAACCATCAGCCTTCTTGACAAGGGCATTTCCCATTCTTTTCTTGAAATCCATCTGTATTATTTGCTACAGACAAAGACTTAAAATTAAGAGATGGTCCTGGGAGTTACGAGTTTCCTTGAATGCTACATCATTGAGTCATCTCTAGATCATGACAATGAAATGGGATCCTTTGCTAAAAGAACTATTAATATCTGGTCACGTGACTCATCACATGACCATCATCACACTGCACCAAGAGGCTCAGGGTGAGGTATTTGTGGGCAACATCAGTACCAGCCATTTAAATGTGGATGGCATCACTCTGGCCCCTGCAAGGACAGCCACTGAGGTCAGAACTTCTAGGCCAACACCACAAAAGTTTGCCACTTCAGCTAATAAAAAAATGATAGCACAACCAGGCTGTTGCTCAGCTAGTGGACTAGCACAACAAAGGAACAGCACATTTCACCAACAGACTTCACAAATAATTGCGACATTTCTTTATCAGCCCTCATCTTTACTTTTTAGGCACTTCATCTCAGTTCAATGCCAGTGAAAATAGTCTGAAAAGAAAGTGTCAGACAATCTTCAAGAACCTGCTCACTGTAAGAAGCAGCAACTTTGGAGATTACATACCCAACATGCTTTGCACAGCTAGACTAATCAAACTGAAATGCACTAAAACCTTTGATCTATGGAAAGATGGATCTCAGCATCTACAATGCAAGCACCTACTAGTAGTACTCACGATGCCTACTTTGTATATTCAGTTCTCCTTGTCCAGAAGTCTAAGGAGTTTCCACACTACATATGCTAAGCGTAGAGTCAGTAGCGCTACATTCTCCACACCGAATTAAGCCAGTCCTGGAAGACCTAGGAAGATCTTTGCTGCCCCTAGTAAGCAGAACTTCCTTGGCCAGCAGTTCTTCAGAATTAAGGATTAATGGGTCTTTAGCAGCAGACAATAAAACTGGACAGATTCCGACACTAGATTCACACTGACAAGTTTTTCTCTGGACACACAGAAGTGTCCATTCTTTGTCACTGAACTCTGAGCATTAAGCACCAAGCCAAAACAGCACACAAATGTGTCAAGTCAAACTGCCTTTCTTCGGCTCTATCATTTTGCTGTTTGGATCTAACAAGCATCCTTTGTGACACACAGGTATCCCTTCTCATCCATACAGCTCTCGGCAAGTGTCATTTCTACAGGCATCTTCCTATACCCCCTTTCTTCTCCTTTTTCAAGCTAACTACAAGGAGGAAAATTCAGAAAATAGAGCATCTGGTCAGATTTTGGAACAAACTCAGAAGCCTGATGAGCAGCTGGTACACATTCTTTGCTAAAACTATCAACTTCAACCTCATCAGCTAAGGATGCATGAGGAAAGACTAACAGACTCTAGAAACTCACTGAATAAGGAATAGAAATATTATTTTAATGTAATTAGTCAAACCTCGTTACTTTCCACCCTCTCAAGCCTCAAGGCTCACCTGTGCAATCTGTATTGGCTGAGATAGAGGGATCTGCGTCATCGGTGTTGCAGCAGAGGCCGAGATGGTGGCACCAGCAGCGCTGTGCTGCTGACTGGCTGAATGCTGCACTGCAGCCGCCAGCAACTGTGCCTGCGCCTGTTGTAGCAATAACTGTTGCTGGGCTGGCGTCAACGTGAGCTATAAATAATTAGAAAACACAGCCATTAATAATGGAAAGAGCCACTTCAGCTACAAAGTCATTAGCTAGCTCATTACTAGTCATATTAACCAGACATTCCTAGAACTATTACTACAGTTCAGCCATTAACTAGCCAATAACTCTGGCCTTAAGTAAGGGCAGCTGGCTACTCAACAGAGTGTAGGAACCAACCTACCACAGACCTGACGTAAACCAAACCGCACGAACGCAAACATTTGCACTGACTGGAACCTACAGAACCTAACTTTACTCCTAAGTTTTCTTCACAGCTCTACCAGGACGTTCATGAAAAAGGTAATTAAGTAGCAAGCAAAAGAAAAGAATCAGTATTGCCAGGATTTGAAAGGATCCAGCAGAACAGCAAGTGATTAGCCAGATGAATGAGAAGC